TATGGTCACTGAGGAGAGTGAATTCAACAACTGCATGATATGTACACATTTAAATTCATGTCGTATCTTATTATTTTTGTGATGTATTATGTAATGTGTTATTTTGTTAATTTTCATCTGCATTATTTCAATAAGTTATAAACATGTTGGTATGTTATAAATCAACTTTGCATTTTGAGTCAATACATTGGGTATGAAATTGGTAATTATTACCGCTTTAAGATGCCTCTTGATTTTAGTTGTATTCAAACTTTTTGTTTTCCTTTATACAAATATTTTGTCTTTATGTTCTTATCAATCATAAACAGCGTTTAAGTATCGGAAATTGATTACGTTATGAAGTTAGCATTTTGTTAAGGATGCTTGCTACTCCTTTTTTTCCCAACTGAATCAGTATCCGTAGTATACTAGTATCAGTGTAGGCAGATTAATTATTATTGATGACTGTGTAACTCACATAATTTCAGAAAATACATATTTCAATTCTTCCACAGTAAGTATATTTAATATTGTTAACTGTATATATATTTTATACTTTTACTGTATATATATGATCCGTTCATCCTTTTTCGACTCTTCAAAATCCAGAGTCTATCCTAAATTGAGGTAAATTTTATGGCCTTCCAAATACCGTTTCGATTCCTAACATAACTGAAGAGACATTAATTGTCGAAATCCGGATATGGTGTACAAATTTTTGCACCTCATGTTTGCGGTATACCATCTTTTCCGCAAGTTTATTGTTTTCTGTTTGGTATTAAATTAATAGTTAAGATCCATTTTTTGTTACATCTGGTGATCCGTTTATTTGGCAATCGTCAATGGCAGTCAGCAGGGTTTAAGAACATCAGTTGTTCGACCTGTTAGTCAAATGGGTTTTGTTAAAATATGCTTTTTCACTTTTTTATGTCTTTTAGAAAATGTTGTTTGTGCTGTATTTAGACCCCTCTACCAAGAAATTTGTTTTGCATGCACACGTATAAAAATTGCGGTTTTTATCCAACGCAATCATAGGTTTGAACGTTTTTTTCAATTTAGACTTGTTTATATAATTTTCGTTTGGGCTTGTATTATATATGCCTTCGGGTTTATATGATCCGTTCATCCTATTTCGACTCTTCAAAATTCAAGAGTCTATCCTAAATTGAGGTAAATTTTGTGGCATTCCAAATGCCGTTTCGACTCCTAACATCACTGAAGAGACATTAATTGTCGAAATCCGGATATGGTGTACTAATTTTTGCACCTTTTGTTTGAAAAGAATTATACCCCTTGGAAATATTGATTATATGGAAAATTGCACTGTAAGACTTAATGCTTTCCAGCATACATTGCTTCAAGCTATATCTATATAAAGTTTTAAAGAACAAAAAACTATATTTCTTTTATTGTTATTGCCTTTTGATAGATAAAATATGTGCAACGCGGGGGACAAGGGAACTCTGTTCTTTTATTAATATACTATTTACCAGATCTATTGAGCATTGAAACGGCTAATTTGAAAGAGAATGATTTTAGAGACCGAACTTCTCACTGTTATTAATAAAATTGAAAAGCAATAAATCAAGCAATGTTATAATTGGTCGACTGACCTCAATAACATTCTCTTTATACTTTTTCCACAGACTTACTTAATTGTAAATTTATGCTTATTCACTAAAAAAGAACACGATTATTGCTTTCTAATTTATTTACACTGTCAGGATTGTTAATTCACAATATATATATAAGATTAACATAAACACACACAATATTAGTTACATAGTGTGCTAGTGACCTAATACGATATATATGGGGTCAGTAAATTCGAAGCTCTCACCCCATATGGAATTTACTGACCCCATATATATTGTATTAGGTCACTAGCACACTGTGTAACGAATTTATCTTACCGGCTATCTTAAAATGTGGCATTTAGACTAGTGGCCTATCAAAGTGATCAACACTCATTCTCAGGAAATCAGGTCCAATACGTGACTTGTTGTCCCTGTAGATATTTGAAGCCTCATCTGCTTTAAAATGTCTAAACAAATATGTTTTTGAAAGTCAAGGAAGATATCTAGCTAAAACTAACACAATTGCTACGTAGAAGAATATTAAAATTACTCCAGCCTTACACTCAAACGTATTATTTTGAGTAAAACGAATGTCCCTGATGGTATAGATATTTTTTCTGTTGAGTATTTAACTTAAGAAGCTTGTAAAACATGTACCTGTATTGCCTTTTCAGATCTATCACCATTTAGCCAATACAAATTTATGTCATTTTAAGTAGTTTGTCATAAAATAAAACCAACACAGTTTTGAAAATATATGTCACTATTTCTTTGACCAGATACGTTACTAAATTTTAATTAGACTCTATATTTATCTAAAGGTCAATTGAAAGAATGATTATGTTGCTTTTGAAGTGTTAGTCCATAGTTATAACCAAAACAAAATTATATGATGTGTATCTATAATGGTTTAGAAAATTGATAAGCTCCAACACTAGGAAATGGCGTTTGTACGTTAATTTTTAACAGATACGTTACTATGGAATCATTTGAATACGTGAATGGGATCTATTTAACTGAATAAATATGTTTTTAAATATTTGATCTTACTTTTCAACAGTGAAAAATGTCCTGGAATCAGAAACATATTTGAAATAATGGACTACGAACAATTTGTTAAACAGATACGGTACCAACAGATACGTTACTATGTTTCGGTTAACGATGAAATATCAATATTATTTCGGAATTCAGACATATGAGATATCTGCCTTAATACATTTTTATTTTGTTTAATGATCAATCAATAATATCATCAGTACAACAAGTTATCAGCTGCAACTTGCGAAGACATATGAAAGAACAACGTCAATTTTAGCAATTGTACTGATTTTAACTTGAAATTTTGATATATTTTTCGTTAATATATTAATTTAGATATTTTATCACATAGATACGAATTAGACATCTTAATTTTGTACCTACAGGATAAAAATAGTTTTAAAGTATTGTAATTCAGGGTGCAAACATTAAGTAACGTATTTGTGTCCTATAGTAACGTATTTGTTACATGCCTTGAACAGATACGTTACATCGTATATCCTATTGTTTCATTCGAGTTTGAAGCGTTACGCTCACTTCTTTGATTTCAAATATTTTTTTATTTAAAGTTAATTTATAATTAATAGTTCCAGAACCGATATAATAGAGATTTTAATATAAAAATTGTCTTCTCAACAGATACGTGATATGTTCATTTCCAAGTTGAAAAAAAGATAATATATACCAACATTTGAAAAAATATATGAAATTATTATGAGCAGTTGTTGATAAATGATATTTAAACATATTTTGAGTAATATCTTAATACATATTTTATCAAAAACAACTAATTGTTATGTATTTTGTCTTCAAAGTTATATTTTATCAAGATATGGATTCAAGAACAATTCATTAACTTTTCAGAGTCTATTACTTAAGATTTATGACTATTAATAGCATCTCAGGTATCTCTAGAATAGCTTTGGAGGAAAAAATCTAAGCAATGAAACTTTGTATGAAAATTTGTTTGCTAAGGAAATAAAACATGACGATAACGTATCTGTTATGTAGAAAACAGTGACCCATAGTCCTGACCACGATATTATTTTCACAGTAAGAGCTAAGATCAACCACTTTGGAAACTTTCAAATCATATATATACGAATCATTTGAGCATTATTAAAAGTTGGTTTACAGAAATTTATTTTCCAAGTATAATTTTGGCAAATGGTCCCGATTTGCTGAGAATCAGTGTCAAGTCTTCAATATTAAGAATCTACTTCAATTAGTTTATACAAAATCAAATGCCAGCAATAACAACTTGTTAGCTTTTAATGTGTTTTCTGCATTAATTTCAATCGTTCATCATCAATTTCTTCGACTGTTGAAACCTTTCAGATTTTTCCACAACACCATGTTGTTTTTACAAAGGGACGTAACACCACTACTAACCATGTATTGAAATAAACCACGCCTACTAACCCCATATAAAATATACACGGTATCCACGCGGTTGCTTTTAACCAATCATATTCCTAGAAATGTATAAGAGGTAAGATAAACACATATATCCCCATGATTAAAAAATGAAAATATTGTTAGTTTGATATAATTGTATAGTCTGGTATTCCTTTAGGAGGTGATACCCTAAAGTTATTTTTTCAATGATGCTTTAATTGTGCATATGCACGAATGTTACAATAATTCATCTGTGGTATTTTTACCTTTCAAATTTAGGGATTTGACCTAGTTAAGTTTTACCTTTTAAATTTAGTAATTTTACATAAAATGTTTTTAAATATATACTAATTTTTATTTTAGAGAAATTTTGATTTCTTTATTTATCGATGACATGGTTGTATATTTCAACAAAATGTCAAATTGATACAAGTGCTGATTAATCTGTGTTATCTTGTTAAGTGAGGATGATCATCTTCTTTCTTTATCGTTCCCTTATCTCTAAGCATAGTACATTTATGGAATTATATTCATGTATTGTATTTATACTCAAACATATTAGTGTTATTAATAGTATTCTGGAGAAGACTTCAATAGTACGATATACTTGTGGCTGATTCATTTAGTTGCTTTCGCATATCAAGTATGCTTAAAATAATATGAATATATCTGCACATGATATTTGTCAATCATATGCGCTTTACCCTGCAGGAACACATTTTTGTCTCTTTTCAAATATTACTCATGCGGATTTATACATAATCAGTTACTGCTGATTATTGGAATTGCTTGTGTTTAAATACTTCATATTTAAAGGTAAACCACGACCCGGATATACATTCAAACCCAAACAAACATAAACAGTGACATACAGATGAAAATAAAAAATTCAACCACGCACTTTTCATATAGATTTACTGAATACATGTATTTGTCGTGTTTAAACCCACCCCCTTTCGTGAATCTTTATCTTTATTCTTTTGTTACAAAATGTATCAGCTTTCTTGATAGGTTGATAAATTACCCAATTGTTGGTACGTTTTAGTTTAAATTTAAACTGTAAAGCTCAAATCATATTATTATATTTTAAAAAGCCAGCCTTTGAATTACAGCAGAAAAGTTAAGAGGTAAGTTTTACAACATATGCAAACAAAAAATGTCATAGGAATTCGTCTTTAAAATATTTTTCTCTTAAATTTACAGAAAAAAGAAACGAAAAAGACACTACAATGATATATTCTTAGGCTTTTTATATTCAAGATTGCGAATAAATGATATTTAAAGCACTGACAAAAGAATAGATATTGTATTAGAAGAAATTCAAGAATATAGACAAGACTTAGTTTTCGCCCCTTCCCTTCCGACAAATTTTGACTCAAAATAAGTAACTCTAACTGTGATTACCACAGAAACAGACGTAGTATAATTAAAACTTTTAGCTTTCTCTGGTTTTATTAATTCACCTTAAAAGTTTGTTTTCATGTTTTTGTTTTGTTTCATTTCTTTACAACTTCAATAGAATTTATTTCCAATATCTTGTTATAATTACATACGTAGCATAATTAGTGTTCCTGTGTTTCACCCTCAAACCTGTTCAGGGAAAAAAGCTGAGATAAAATGTCAACTTTACCGTTACAATAACATTTTTGACCGGGTTGGACGAGGTTCAAAAACGCGATTATAGTATGACTTTTTTTTCGACCTTCACTCACTCACTTACTGTCTTACTTATTTACTTAATCACTCACTCACTCACTCACTTACTCATCCATTTTCTTACTAACTAACTTACTTACTTACTTACTCTCTCGGTCACTCATTTAATCACTCACTCACTCTCTTACTCCCTTCATTCCTTCCTTCCTTACTCGCTCACTATTTCCCTTCCTTCAATTCTTACTTACTTACTCTCTCATTCACTCACTCACTCACTCCCTTCCTTCCTTACTTATTTTCTTACTTACTCACTCTCTCACTCATTTACTCACTCACTACCTTCCTTACTTACTTACTTACTCATTTACTCGCTCACTCACTAACTCCCTTCCTTCCTTCCTTCCTTCCTTACTTTCACTATTTACATTTGTCTATTTTTTTTAATGAACTATTAAGTTTATATATTCACTATTAGTTGGCAGTTATTACATATCTGATCTGAAAAGTGTATAATATCTTTATTTTGGTCTGGATCTTTAATTTGTAAACATTGTAAACGTAAAATGATATTTTCTTTTAGTTCACAATACATTTGTCTATTAATTTTAATTATCTAAAATTATTTAAATTATGATATATACTGAACAACAACAAAAACGCACCACATCCATTAATTTCTGTAGCATATAAAAGTAAGTGAAATGAGTCCACATTTCGACAAAATGTTTCTGGTGTCATGAAATTTTGTGAAAATGAAGATTTTCTGAATTTTCTTACTTTACTTCTCATAAAACCACATTTCTAACCCTAAAAACCCCAAAAAATATTCCCAATTTGTGAAAACTAAACTCGCGCGTATTTGTTTCCCATTTTTTTATATATTATACATAAACTGTAATGAGATAAAGAAAAACTATTAACAGCAAAAATTATTTACGAGACAAGATATACAAAAAGATCAACAAAGCCGAAATAGTAAGTCCACTTCCTATAGGATTATTGTCCTTGACTGACGATTTTACCTATTTTTTGTATTTTGTGCAAATAGTACAGATTTAAAGAGTAACTGAAAACAGGTAGAATGATCAGCAATACAAGATCTACAAAAAAAGAGATTTTAGTCAAGAATTATATTCTCAAAGAATCTAGACATTGCATAAGGTCATGTTTTTCTCTTACTGTTAATGATGTCTTTATCCTAAATCCATTGGATGTTAGATGTGTCTGTCCGTCTGTCTGTCCCGATTCAGGTTAAAGTTTTTGGTCAAGGTAGTTTTTGATGAAGTTGAAGTCCAATAACGTCATGTCTAATACTAAATGCATAAAAACTGGTGTACCACAAGGCTCTATCCTTGGCCCTCTGTTATTTATTTTATATATCAATGATTTACCACTGAACATAAAAAATTCATTAATAGATTTATATGCAGATGATTCTACATTACATAGTAAAGGTAATAATGTACTTCAGTTAACTGCTAACCTTCAAAATGATATTCATGTAATTGAAAACTGGTGTTCGCAAAATTGTATGAAACTAAATGCCCAAAAGTGTAAATCAATGATTATTGGTTCAAAACAGAGGCTTTATTCAACTGGGAACAGTTTAGATATCAAAATTTCAGATGAACAAATAGAGAATGTAGATTGTGAAAAACTTCTCGGTTTATATATCGACAAAAACCTAAATTGGAATGAGCAAATAGATAAAATGTCATGTACAATATCAAATAGAATCAATTTATTACAAAAGATAAGAAAATATTTACCTATGCATATACGTATTATTTATTTTAATACTTATATTCTGCCATTGTTTGATTATTGTTGCAATATATGGGGAAGTTGCTATGAAAGTGGAATAAATAAACTTAATAAGTTATTAAAGAAATCTGCTAGGGTTATAGTAGAAGCTGACATAATGACATCATCCAGTTTGTTGTTTAATAGTTTAAACTGGTTAAATGTGGAAAAACGCATTCAATATCAAAAGGCAATACTTGTATTTAAATCATTAAATGATATGGTTCCTAACTATTTACAAGAAAACTTTCATTTTATTGGTAATCAGAATTATAAATTACGTTCGGCTGATGAAAAACTATTAAATCTTCCGAAACCAAAAACAAACTTTTTAAAGAAAACATTTACATATTCAGGTTCTCAAATATGGAACAGTTTACCAAATGAAATAAAAATGAGTAATACACTTGTATCTTTTAAAACAAAATGTTACAAATTTTTCATCAATTGTGCAAATTAATATGCTTTTTCATTATTATCTAGATACAATTGTATATTGTGTATAATATATCATTATAATATTGTATGTACTTATAGATATGTTATTATTATTTTGAGGACTCTCAGGAAGATTAGTTTTAACTAATGGGATTATCCTCTTGAAATAAAGATTATTTATTTATTTATTTATTTATTTAAACTTAGTACACATGTTCCCTATGAAATGATCTTTCTAATTGTAATGCCAAATTAGAGTTTTGACCCCAATTTCACGGTCCACTGAACATAGAAAATGATAGTGCGAGTGGGGCATCCGTGTACTATGGACACATTTTTGTTTTCATTAGTTGTTATTGGCTTTGAACTAGCTGTCAGTAACTGCGAGTACACTCAGATCTGTACTAAATGTCTTTTTGTTGTGGGGATGTACAAGTACCCTGCCACGTCCACTCTATGTTTTTGTTAGATGTATTTCTATTTGTATCCATCTGATGAGTTAAGCCTTTTTTAACGTATTTTTAACGTATAGTTTGTTCTTATGTTGTACTGTTACGCCACTGTCCCAGGTTAGGGGGGAGGATGGCGCCTTCAAACTACAAATGTAGTTTAACCCCGCCACATTCTGTATATGCCTGTCCAAAGTCAGGAGCCTGTAATTCAGTGGTTGTCGTTTGTTGCTGTGAAACATATTTGTTTTTCGTTCATTATTTTGTACTTAAATTAGGCTGTTAGTTTTCTCGTTTGAATTGTTTTACATTTGTCATTTCTGAGCATTTCATAGCTTACTATGCGGTATGAGCTTTGCTCATTGTTGAAGGCCGAACAGTGACGTATAGTTGTTAATTTCTTTGTCATTTGGTCTTTTATGGAGAGTTGTCTCATTGGCAATCATACCACATCTTCTTATTTTTATATAGATCTAGGTGAGCGAAACAAACTCTTTCGAGCCTTAAGTTTTTAAAAGTGTAACAAAGAATTACTGTGGTTTAAGGACATGTTTGCAGAAATGGCAGTTGACTTGAACCAGGGAATGCCCAAATCTAAAGAATAATGTTATGCATTGACTTCTAATGGAGTTCACATATTTTACTTTTTATCCCTAGCTTTCTTAAACTCCAAACAAAGTTCCAATCAATTCTAACAGCAAAGTTAATTGATGACCTGTTGATTATCTTTAAATTATTATGTGGTATCTTAACACCAAAAGTACTGCACAGATCTAACTATCCCTCCGTTTTTAGTTTCTAAACAACAAAAGTTCTTATTTACTTGATTAACTTTATAAATCCAAATAAATGGCACAATGATATTGTTTATTCAGTTTATATATATTTGATAGGAAGGATGTGAATTTCATACCATATTTCTTTCAGGTCCCTTTTATTCATATAGCTCCTCAAATATTCAATTATTTACCCATCCTTTGCTATCAAATGTTTAGGTTTGAGATTTTCTGGTAAACACAGAAAAGTGGCTTTGGAAGCATTTTTAATATTCGAACGAACAAATTAGATATTCAATAAGTTACGTTCAGGAGGATACGACTAATAGGTACCTTATAATTGATTAAATTTGGCATACTTTAGTGACCACAATTATCATTTTCAGATAAAGAAAATGGCATGTGAAGCAGGCAATGGACAGTTTAAAAACTGGGCCAAAGTCTATGAAAAAGATGTGGCAGAAAGTATAAAGAAATACCAAGTACTGAAAGATTTAGATTTGTTTGTCCTAGACAACTCAATAAGAGAGAGCACAGTTGGTCAGCTTAGAGGTCACACCATTGAAAACAAGTGGAAAGTTTATGACGAAGTTAAAAAATGTGGATTTAAGCATACAATAGTTGCCTCCTTCAACCACAGTACTCGTGTAGATGATGTCTTTATCAAACAGCTCGTTGACAAAGGAGAGGACCCTGCAGGCCTTTGGGCTTTCTCAGAAATAACTGAAGGTCAGTTTGGGAGCAACCATTTAACTTCAAAAGGGTGGGGGGTAATGGTTTTTTGTCTGAGTCAGAAATGTTTTAGTTTTTTCGACGCTATCAATCAAATTATTTTTTTCAAAATACAACACTATGGGGTAAATCTGGATTCCGATTTTTTTTTTTTTTTTTTTTTGTCATCTGGTTGACCACAATATTTTTTTTTCATCAAATTGGGGATCAGAATATTTTCAGGAAAAAAAACATAACCCCCCTCCCCCCTTTACAGTTAAATGGTCGTTCCCTTATATATAAAAACATTGCCCTGAATATGTATAAAAATCCAAGTTTAGCAACCATCAAGCGACTAATCTGTAATAAAGGCAAAAGATACCAAGTAGCAATTAAAAACCACAAGTCGATGAAGAAAAAAAAACCTGGCGGACAGAGAGACCATGCTCACAACATATTTATTACCAAGAAAACAAGAGATTGAACTAAAAACACCCCACGAAATACGAAATGAACTCAGGTACTACCGAAAGATCAGCAGCTGGTTCTATACTAGTAAACCACAATATACTCTTTTTTTTGTAAACAATTTTCAAATAGTTTTTTACCAGGTTCGACAGAGTAAGCATGTTCTGTTATGTATGTATTACCAGGTTCGACAGAGTAAACATGTTCTGTTATGTATATATTACCAGGTTCGACAGAGTAAGCATGTTCTGTTATGTATGTATTACCAGGTTCGACAGAGTAAACATGTTCTGTTATGTATGTATTACCAGGTTCGACAGAGTAAGCATGTTCTGTTATGTATGTATTACCAGGTTCGACAGAGTAAACATGTTCTGTTATGTATGTATTACCAGGTTCGACAGAGTAAGCATGTTCTGTTATGTATGTATTACCAGGTTCGACAGAGTAAGCATGTTCTGTTATGTATGTATTACCAGGTTCGACAGAGTAAGCATGTTCTGTTATGTATGTATTACCAGGTTTGACAGAGTAAGCATGTTCTGTTATGTATGTATTACCCGTCACATGACTTAAAAGTCAGATCAAGTAACAAGGTCAAATTCAGGAACATGCTGAAATAATAACATCACACTTGTTTCATTAAAATAATTTGTCGTTACGAGAACACGCTCGTAGGAAATCTTATCAACTGACTTATGTAAACATCATAGGCAAGAGCAGATACCTATGTATTTTTTAATTTGCTGATCAAATTGTGTTCTTATTTTACAATGTTACTCGTTGCTTGGTATATGAAAATCGCGACATAGGATGAAAAGCAATTGTCAATGAGACTCATTATGAGTTACAGAAATGTTCCTACTTCACTTGCATATGCGGATCCAGGGGGGCCTGGGGCCCCTTTCGTGGGAAAAATTTGGTTGATTATATAGGGAATCACTGAAGCATGACTGGAGCGCCCCCCCCTTTTTTAGGTCAGTCAGCGGGCCCCCCTTATGAAAAGTTCTGGATCCGCCACTGACTTGTATTGTAGTGTAGTTGTTTTGAGAGAGAAAAACGCATTGATTTATCTTTCTAGAATATTTTTGAAATTTTTAATCAGAAATTACAAATGAAATATACTGAGTTCTGTTTAATCGGATTCCTTTGTTAATCTGTCTTTACATATCTCTTGTATCAAGAAATACAATTATGTATGCATGTGTTTTCACTGAACAGAATAATAAAATGGATTCGGTTTAGACTGGTTTTATGTATACGTATTAAGGAAAGTATTCATTAATAACATTTTAATAACATTTTATATGCCCTTTTCAGCAATAAAGGGGAAAGTTCCTGACACTGAAAGCGTACCTGTAGGTTTACGGAAAATGAAAGAAGCTGGTCTGTATAACGTTATCTTCGAACTCGACCTTGGAGATTCTACGTACGATTTTGACAGATTCAGAACAGAAGAGATTTGCGCATTGCTTAAAAAATGGGTTGACTGGGTTTTTGAAAATTTGAGTAAAGAGGCAAAGGTATTCATTAGCTTCAGAGACCTTCCGGATGCTATGCCAACTGATTCCGACAGAGTTTTTGAAGTTACTGATTTCCTATGTAAACTACCATTATTTGGTCTGATGTTTGAGGAACCAAGAGGGCAATCTCTTCCAGAGGAATGTGGCACCTGGGCAAAACATATAAGAAAGGTCATGGAAGCCAATCATTTCAAAGGTCATCTCTTGGTTCATGTTCACGAGAAATTTGGTTACTGTGATGCTGTAGCTTTGCAGGTACGCGATAACAATATGAAATAAGTATCTTTTGTAGAATATGATTATTAATCAAATACGAAAAATTAACCTGTGTAACAAACATTTTGATTATACAAATATCATGGTCAATAACATGTAGTCTAAATTGATTTAAGGATAATGTATCCATGTGTTGTTTCACTGCTTAACATAGGTAAATTTTAGACAAGCAGTGTTATCAATGATTTCCCTAAGACAAATATTTAAATATAGATATTAATTAAAAAAAAGTATAAACATGACCTATATCAGGTCTCAAGGAACTTCGGCGAACAATAAACGATAGCAAAATATTTATAGACCAACAAGTGAGTAATCTATATTCAAAAAGTTATTACGAAAATACCTATAATGAAGTTTGTGGGTTTTCTGTGAAATTCTTGTTTGAGGTTGCTACAAAATCATGTTATCCATAAAATGCAACGAATGAAGTTTCCTTAAGGTATGCATACAATATGACATAGATATTTAAAAAAAAACGCTGTTTTTGAAATGTTTAGACTTTGAAAAATTCGTATTACACAGCCTTAGAAAAGTAGTCATCAATCTCAAATAATTATATTTGTAGAAAAAAAATTTTGTATTTTATTCCATATTCAGGTACTAATGGATGGAGCAGATGGAATTTGGGCCAGTGTTATAAAAGAAGGCGCTGCCATGGGAAATGCACCATCTATTGTAACAATACTTAATCTAATAAGAATGGGAAACAAAAAAGTGCTGAAAAAGTTTAACTGCACGTACCTCCGAAAGGCAGCAATTAACATGACCAGAATTACCACTGGAGTTGATCCTCATGTCAAACAGCCTGTATATGGAGCACGTGCCCTCGACTTCGTTTTTGATTTGAATCCTGAAGAATTTGATTTTGCCGACTTTTTCGACGAAAAAGCTCCTATTCGAATAACCACTCTTTCGTCAGCAGAAATGGTTCAAACTAAGTTAGTCAATTATTTTGGCGAGAACGAAGACTTTACTATAGAACGTGCCAACCTTATGAAGGAAGTCATGCTAAAAGATTTACGGGGGAACAGGTTTGTTTTCATTTTTATAAGGCTACAAATAAATACAATTAAAGTATACAACAAAGATAGAAGAAGCAACACTTCAAAAATAAGTGAAAATGTGGTTGTAACTAAACATAAATTTTATCTAATGCTACATACAGATGATGTTTTTTTTTTATATCAGATATTCATTAAATATCTAAGACAGTGGGAAATCTCCCCCGAAAACACTGAAAACTTGATCATTTCAATGTTTGTTCCGTTTCAGCAAGGACGCTGTTAATTATAAATTAACAAGAAAAAACATTCTGGTAAATAGTAACAATGAAATGAATTGAAATAAAACAAAATTTCCGTACAATATTATCACTTCCCTCCTAAAATAGCAAAAGATGAGTACAGCAGGCTATAGGAGCTTTGTGTAAAATTGGTTTAAAACGTTGCTATGCAAATACATTCCTGGAGTACCAACTTCAATTTATTTTTCTACTGGCTCTACCTCAGGAATAGATTATCTTAGCTGTATTTGGCAAAACTTTTAGGAATTATTGGTCCTCAATGCTCTTCAACTTCGTACTTTATTTGGCCTTTTTAATATTTTTTGATTCGAGCGTCACTGATGAGTCTTTTGTAGACGAAACGCGCGTCTGGCGTAAATATAAAATTTCAATCCTGGTATCTATGATGAGTTTATTTACAACCACTGGGTCGATGCCATTGCTGGTGGAGATTTATTTTCCAAAGGGTATCACCAGCCCAGTAGTCAGCACTTCTGTGTTGACTTGAGTTATCATTGATATGTTCATAATTATAAATTAACTGTTAACAAAACTTTAAATTTTTGAAATACTAAAGCTTTTCTACCTCAGGAATAGATTACTTTAGCTGTATTTGGCAAAACTTTTAGGAATTATTGGTCCTCAATGCTCTTCAACTTCGTACTTTTTTGGCCTTTTTAATTTTTTTTATTCGAGCGTCACTGATGAGTCTTTTGTAGACGAAACGCGCGTCTGGCGTAAATATAAAATTTCAATCCTGGTATCTATGATGAGTTTATCTATACCGCTCTGGAACATACCAATTATCCGTTACATATATGTACATGTATGCAGCTAGATCAGAGAAGATCGGGTTAAAAATTCCAAAGGAAGCAATTGATATGCAGCAAAGATTAACACTTTTGAAATTAAGTTACTAAGCAATTCAAACGGACCCTATCTCGATGTAAACATTCATTTTTTTTTTGCATGTAAAGAGATCGAGAAGACTGCAAATACATGTACAGAAATCGAGACTCCCTTTTCTTAAAATTGTAAAAACAAATTAGTAAAAATCTTTTAGATTGTTATATTCACAAAAAGACAATAATTCTATACAGAAAGTTCACCTGACAAGAGCAGATCGGTGTACTCGAAAACTTTGATGGTGATAAATAGGTACATTTTGGGAAATTGTAACATGTGGAACACTTATAAAATTGGTGACCTGAAAAATCTTTAGATATTGTACGTGCATGATTTTCTCCAATTTTTTTTATCAATATTCTACAAATTTTATTTTTTTTTAATTTCAGTTTCACAAGCTTGCTTCAAATGCAATTATCTCGATATTGGTCCTCAATGCTCTTCAACTTCTAAATAGTGAACTTTAAACATCGTGTAGCCACATGTATATTTCTAATAACACAATTTTGATTTAACAAATATTTTCTTAACAATGTACGATTGTTGTTTAGAAACAAATTTTAATCGATATCGTCACTTATATTGTTTTACTATTAATTTTTTGGATTTTTTCATAAGAAGAGTGACTTATCTATTGTTGTCATGTCATCGGTTTAGCCACTGTAGAATTTTGTAAAAGTTATAGCTGCATGTATTGGTTTAATTTTGAAACATTTTTTTCCTTGTTTTCTTTTCACAGTGCATTTTTTTTTATTTCTCCATGGTTACCTGTATATTTGATATATGTATTGTATTTAACCATTTGTTCCAGCTATTCATATCAAAGCAAATTGATCCAAGAAATAACAACTTTAATAAAAAAATAACCAAAATAACACCATCAACAAATACCTGTAAAAATAAAAGTTACAAGGTAAATTAACCGCGATGACTTGAACACTGCTTCACCACCGAAAAAGACAAAGTTATAGTTAGTATTGTTTTGATATTTCTGTTGTTTTAATATTTTCACACCTACACATTTTATGTTTTTATTATGTTTAGGAAAGAAGAGTATATGAGTAAATGTGGATTGGCAGTTTTGTACGACCGTTCTGGGGGAAAACTCACTGATGAAATAAGAGACGAAATTGCCAACGATCCAGTGAAGACACCACATGGACAAAACCTACTCAAAGAAGTCCGTGAAAGATGGGACGAATGGGATCTGAAAGATAAAGTTCAAGGTGATAACCTCTTGGATTTCGATTCCTTTTACAATGGTTTCATGTCCGCTTATTTTGCCTGTTACAGATGTAACGATACTAAAAAAGCGTTGCAGGCCCTCGATATGGATTCCGACAACTCCGTTGATTGGACGGAATTCTGCATCTTTTTAAAATGGGCAATAAAGCAATATCCTAAAACAATTCACACTGCAGATGATTTGCTCGAAGTAGCCTTCCGAAAAGGGTTAATTCCTTGCATGAGAGATGAAATGGTTGTCAGAAGGTGAAAACAAAAACTATATTGTATTGTTTTTTTAAATCAACAGCAACTTGTATTTGAAATAATCCGCTTTTTATGTAATGTAGCAAATTTTATATATATACATAAAATGTATTTACTTGCAACTGCTTATAATATACTCATTTGATGTCTAAATGTCTAATATTGGTGGCAAAAATGTGATTATTTCAACAATGTAGATATATAAAAATCCATCCGTTTGTGATCAGAAAACTGTCTGTTATTATAAAGTAAATATAAGAGAAAACGTAAGATGAACATGCACATAAAGTCAATGAAACATCCTGACGAGGATCACATTTGAAAAAATTAATGCAAACAATTTTGCTCGCCTGGCGACATTTCTGTAATATTGTTATTGTATCTAGGATTTGCACATTTAGTATAACTTAATTTTGAATAAAGATGTTTATATAGCGTATGATCTGTTATCAATACCATATTGTATGGTAAAGATTGAAACCAAGTTAAAGGGGCTTGAACATTTAGCGGAAACTTAATTAAAGTTTATGACGAAGTTAAAAAATGTGGATTTAAGCATACAATAGTTGCCTCCTTCAACCACAGTACTCGTGTAGTGTAGATGATGTCTTTATCAAACAGCTCGTTGACAAAGGAGAGGACCCTGCAGGCCTTTGGGCTTTCTCAGAAATAACTGAAGGTCAGTTTGGGAGCAACCATTTAACTTCAAAAGGGTGGGGGGTAATGGTTTTTTGTCTGAGTCAGAAATGTTTTAGTTTTTTCGACGCTATCAATCAAATTATTTTTTTCAAAATACAACACTATGGGGTAAATCTGGATTCCGATTTTTTTTTTTTTTTTTTTTTTTGTCATCTGGTTGACCACAATATTTTTTTTTCATCAAATTGGGGATCAGAATATTTTCAGGAAAAAAAACATAACCCCCCTCCCCCCTTTACAGTTAAATGGTCGTTCCCTTATATATAAAAACATTGCCCTGAATATGTATAAAAATCCAAGTTTAGCAACCATCAAGCGACTAATCTGTAATAAAGGCAAAAGATACCAAGTAGCAATTAAAAACCACAAGTCGATGAAGAAAAAAAACCTGGCGGACAGAGAGACCATGCTCACAACATATTTATTACCAAGAAAACAAGAGATTGAACTAAAAACACCCCACGAAATACGAAATGAACTCAGGTACTACCGAAAGATCAGCAGCTGGTTCTATACTAGTAAACCACAATATACTCTTTTTTTTGTAAACAATTTTCAAATAGTTTTTTACCAGGTTCGACAGAGTAAGCATGTTCTGTTATGTATGTATTACCAGGTTCGACAGAGTAAACATGTTCTGTTATGTATATATTACCAGGTTCGACAGAGTAAGCATGTTCTGTTATGTATGTATTACCAGGTTCGACAGAGTAAACATGTTCTGTTATGTATGTATTACCAGGTTCGACAGAGTAAGCATGTTCTGTTATGTATGTATTACCAGGTTCGACAGAGTAAACATGTTCTGTTATGTATGTATTACCAGGTTCGACAGAGTAAGCATGTTCTGTTATGTATGTATTACCAGGTTCGACAGAGTAAGCATGTTCTGTTATGTATGTATTACCAGGTTCGACAGAGTAAGCATGTTCTGTTATGTATGTATTACCAGGTTTGACAGAGTAAGCATGTTCTGTTATGTATGTATTACCCGTCACATGACTTAAAAGTCAGATCAAGTAACAAGGTCAAATTCAGGAACATGCTGAAATAATAACATCACACTTGTTTCATTAAAATAATTTGTCGTTACGAGAACACGCTCGTAGGAAATCTCATCAACTGACTTATGTAAACATCATAGGCAAGAGCAGATACCTATGTATTTTTTAATTTGCTGATCAAATTGTGTTCTTATTTTACAATGTTACTCGTTGCTTGGTATATGAAAATCGCGACATAGGATGAAAAGCAATTGTCAATGAGACTCATTATGAGTTACAGAAATGTTCCTACTTCACTTGCATATGCGGATCCAGGGGGGCCTGGGGCCCCTTTCGTGGGAAAAATTTGGTTGATTATATAGGGAATCACTGAAGCATGACTGGAGCGCGCCCCCCCTTTTTTAGGTCAGTCAGCGGGCCCCCCTTATGAAAAGTTCTGGATCCGCCACTGACTTGTATTGTAGTGTAGTTGTTTTGAGAGAGAAAAACGCATTGATTTATCTTTCTAGAATATTTTTGAAATTTTTAATCAGAAATTACAAATGAAATATACTGAATTCTGTTTAATCGGATTCCTTTGTTAATCTGTCTTTACATATCTCTTGTATCAAGAAATACAATTATGTATGCATGTGTTTTCACTGAACAGAATAATAAAATGGATTCGGTTTAGACTGGTTTTATGTATACGTATTAAGGAAAGTATTCATTAATAACATTTTAATAACATTTTATATGCCCTTATGACAAGCAGTGTTATCAATGATTTCCCTAAGACAAATATTTAAATATAGATATTAATTAAAAAAAAGTATAAACATGACCTATATCAGGTCTCAAGGAACTTCGGCGAACAATAAACGATAGCAAAATATTTATAGACCAACAAGTGAGTAATCTATATTCAAAAAGTTATTACGAAAATACCTATAATGAAGTTTGTGGGTTTTCTGTGAAATTCTTGTTTGAGGTTGCTACAAAATCATGTTATCCATAAAATGCAACGAATGAAGTTTCCTTAAGGTATGCATACAATATGACATAGATATTTTTAAAAAAAAACGCTGTTTTTGAAATGTTTAGACTTTGAAAAATTCGTATTACACAGCCTTAGAAAAGTAGTCATCAATCTCAAATAATTATATTTGTAGAAAAAAAATTTTGTATTTTATTCCATATTCAGGTACTAATGGATGGAGCAGATGGAATTTGGGCCAGTGTTATAAAAGAAGGCGCTGCCATGGGAAATGCACCATCTATTGTAACAATACTTAATCTAATAAGAATGGGAAACAAAAAAGTGCTGAAAAAGTTTAACTGCACGTACCTCCGAAAGGCAGCAATTAACATGACCAGAATTACCACTGGAGTTGATCCTCATGTCAAACAGCCTGTATATGGAGCACGTGCCCTCGACTTCGTTTTTGATTTGAATCCTGAAGAATTTGATTTTGCCGACTTTTTCGACGAAAAAGCTCCTATTCGAATAACCACTCTTTCGTCAGCAGAAATGGTTCAAACTAAGTTAGTCAATTATTTTGGCGAGAACGAAGACTTTACTATAGAACGTGCCAACCTTATGAAGGAAGTCATGCTAAAAGATTTACGGGGGAACAGGTTTGTTTTCATTTTTATAAGGCTACAAATAAATACAATTAAAGTATACAACAAAGATAGAAGAAGCAACACTTCAAAAATAAGTGAAAATGTGGTTGTAACTAAACATAAATTTTATCTAATGCTACATACAGATGATGTTTTTTTTTTATATCAGATATTCATTAAATATCTAAGACAGTGGGAAATCTCCCCCGAAAACACTGAAAACTTGATCATTTCAATGTTTGTTCCGTTTCAGCAAGGACGCTGTTAATTATAAATTAACAAGAAAAAACATTCTGGTAAATAGTAACAATGAAATGAATTGAAATAAAACAAAATTTCCGTACAATATTATCACTTCCCTCCTAAAATAGCAAAAGACGAGTACAGCAGGCTATAGGAGCTTTGTGTAAAATTGGTTTAAAACGTTGCTATGCAAATACATTCCTGGAGTACCAACTTCAATTTATTTTTCTACTGGCTCTACCTCAGGAATAGATTATCTTAGCTGTATTTGGCAAAACTTTTAGGAATTATTGGTCCTCAATGCTCTTCAACTTCGTACTTTATTTGGCCTTTTTAATATTTTTTGATTCGAGCGTCACTGATGAGTCTTTTGTAGACGAAACGCGCGTCTGGCGTAAATATAAAATTTCAATCCTGGTATCTATGATGAGTTTATTTACAACCACTGGGTCGATGCCATTGCTGGTGGAGATTTATTTTCCAAAGGGTATCACCAGCCCAGTAGTCAGCACTTCTGTGTTGACTTGAGTTATCATTGATATGTTCATAATTATAAATTAACTGTTAACAAAACTTTAAATTTTTGAAATACTAAAGCTTTTCTACCTCAGGAATAGATTACTTTAGCTGTATTTGGCAAAACTTTTAGGAATTATTGGTCCTCAATGCTCTTCAACTTCGTACTTTTTTGGCCTTTTTAATTTTTTTTATTCGAGCGTCACTGATGAGTCTTTTGTAGACGAAACGCGCGTCTGGCGTAAATATAAAATTTCAATCCTGGTATCTATGATGAGTTTATCTATACCGCTCTGGAACATACCAATTATCCGTTACATATATGTACATGTATGCAGCTAGATCAGAGAAGATCGGGTTAAAAATTCCAAAGGAAGCAATTGATATGCAGCAAAGATTAACACTTTTGAAATTAAGTTACTAAGCAATTCAAACGGACCCTATCTCGATGTAAACATTCATTTTTTTTTTGCATGTAAAGAGATCGAGAAGACTGCAAATACATGTACAGAAATCGAGACTCCCTTTTCTTAAAATTGTAAAAACAAATTAGTAAAAATCTTTTAGATTGTTATATTCACAAAAAGACAATAATTCTATACAGAAAGTTCACCTGACAAGAGCAGATCGGTGTACTCGAAAACTTTGATGGTGATAAATAGGTACATTTTGGGAAATTGTAACATGTGGAACACTTATAAAATTGGTGACCTGAAAAATCTTTAGATATTGTACGTGCATGATTTTCTCCAATTTTTTTTATCAATATTCTACAAATTTTATTTTTTTTTAATTTCAGTTTCACAAGCTTGCTTCAAATGCAATTATCTCGATATTGGTCCTCAATGCTCTTCAATTTCTAAATAGTGAACTTTAAACATCGTGTAGCCACATGTATATTTCTAATAACACAATTTTGATTTAACAAATATTTTCTTAACAATGTACGATTGTTGTTTAGAAACAAATTTTAATCGATATCGTCACTTATATTGTTTTACTATTAATTTTTTGGATTTTTTCATAAGAAGAGTGACTTATCTATTGTTGTCATGTCATCGGTTTAGCCACTGTAGAATTTTGTAAAAGTTATAGCTGCATGTATTGGTTTAATTTTGAAACATTTTTTTCCTTGTTTTCTTTTCACAGTGCATTTTTTTTTATTTCTCCATGGTTACCTGTATATTTGATATATGTATTGTATTTAACCATTTGTTCCAGCTATTCATATCAAAGCAAATTGATCCAAGAAATAACAACTTTAATAAAAAAATAACCAAAATAACACCATCAACAAATACCTGTAAAAATAAAAGTTACAAGGTAAATTAACCGCGATGACTTGAACACTGCTTCACCACCGAAAAAGACAAAGTTATAGTTAGTATTGTTTTGATATTTCTGTTGTTTTAATATTTTCACACCTACACATTTTATGTTTTTATTATGTTTAGGAAAGAAGAGTATATGAGTAAATGTGGATTGGCAGTTTTGTACGACCGTTCTGGGGGGAAAACTCACTGATGAAATAAGAGACGAAATTGCCAACGATCCAGTGAAGACACCACATGGACAAAACCTACTCAAAGAAGTCCGTGAAAGATGGGACGAATGGGATCTGAAAGATAAAGTTCAAGGTGATAACCTCTTGGATTTCGATTCCTTTTACAATGGTTTCATGTCCGCTTATTTTGCCTGTTACAGATGTAACGATACTAAAAAAGCGTTGCAGGCCCTCGATATGGATTCCGACAACTCCGTTGATTGGACGGAATTCTGCATCTTTTTAAAATGGGCAATAAAGCAATATCCTAAAACAATTCACACTGCAGATGATTTGCTCGAAGTAGCCTTCCGAAAAGGGTTAATTCCTTGCATGAGAGATGAAATGGTTGTCAGAAGGTGAAAACAAAAACTATATTGTATTGTTTTTTTTAAATCAACAGCAACTTGTATTTGAAATAATCCGCTTTTTATGTAATGTAGCAAATTTTATATATATACATAAAATGTATTTACTTGCAACTGCTTATAATATACTCATTTGATGTCTAAATGTCTAATATTGGTGGCAAAAATGTGATTATTTCAACAATGTAGATATATAAAAATCCATCCGTTTGTGATCAGAAAACTGTCTGTTATTATAAAGTAAATATAAGAGAAAACGTAAGATGAACATGCACATAAAGTCAATGAAACATCCTGACGAGGATCACATTTGAAAAAATTAATGCAAACAATTTTGCTCGCCTGGCGACATTTCTGTAATATTGTTATTGTATCTAGGATTTGCACATTTAGTATAACTTAATTTTGAATAAAGATGTTTATATAGCGTATGATCTGTTATCAATACCATATTGTATGGTAAAGATTGAAACCAAGTTAAAGGGGCTTGAACATTTAGCGGAAACTTAATTAACAGTTATTTTTTTGTACAGTATCAACAGCTATTTTTATGTACAGTATTAATAGCTATGTTATGTTCACTATAAAAAGCTATTTCATGTACAGTATCAATAGCTATGTAATTGTACCAACAGCTAATGGTATGATCAGTATGAACAGCTCTTTATGTTCAGTACCAAAAGCTAATTGTTTGCAAATTAAACATGATTTACTAGTATTTGATAAGCATCATTCACGTAGACTCTCGTTCGTGTATCAATGCACAAAACATCATTCCACTTCGCTATGCTTCAGCTGACATCAACAATAGGTCTACCGTGTACCATTATAAGACGTCTGTTGCAAAGATCATGTTATTTTTAGAGGTCGGTTTTATTATGTTTAAAAAGGATATGAAATTAAGGTACAAAGAATCGCCCCTCCCTCACAAAAAAAAATAAATCCTAATGCAAAAGCGTCTTAAAACCTTGGTTAGCAGCCTGCAATGATAATCTGCAAAGTATTGAGTTTTGATATGAAAGTTTACAAGGATGAGATATTACCTATAAAACCACAAGTAAAAACAGATACAAGATATCCAACAAAACGTCATACGATACACAAAGACGTTCACTGTAACGTTAACCAAAATGGCCAAGTGCATTTACTGGATATTATACCGAGAGTTTTTTTGTTAGGTATATTTGCTGATAGATATACGAAGATGTGGTATGAGTGCCAATGAGACAACTCTCCATCCAAGTCACAATTTGTAAAAGTAAACCATTATAGGTAAAACCATTTAAGTAATGCTTTTCCGGATAAAACTTAAAAGGACAAAAAAAAAAACATTTTCTAAAACAAAAATTTGACACCACAATTAGACATCAAATTTAAAACAAAGTTAAAAATGTTTTGTCTTCAAAGGGGAGGGGCTAGGATGAAATTTGAAAAAAAGGCAGGACAGGAGCAACTTGGCAGAAAAAAAAGGCAGGATGACAATTAATGTAAAAAAAGTCAGGATAAACTAATAAAAAAAAAGGCAGGACCGAAAATAAAAAGGCAGGACAGAGATTACAACAACAAAAATGCAGGCCAAAATTTTTCATCCTATTTTTAGTAACTTTCACATTGACACAGTGAACTCAAAATAGATAGTGATCTTTCTTTCATTTTATGTGACCATATTTTCAGTAAAGTTGAAATTAGTACTATTTGTTTGACATCCGGCAACAGGTTTCCGACACATATTGCAATCTATTTTTTAGAACCTTGACCTTGAACATAGTGACCTGATAATCAATAGGGATCGTCTTTAAGTTTCCTTATCGTGACCATATATATCTAAGTAAGTTGTAATCCCATATGTCATTAATTTAACATCCTAAAACCACTTCAAAGTCACCACAAATTGCATTCTATTTTTAGTATGACTTTGACCTTGAACATGATGACCTGAAAATTAATCAGGATCGTTCCTAAGTAATTTTATGTGACCGTAAATATAAGAAAGGTTGCAATCCCTTATGTAGTAACTATGACCTTGCCATTTGACGTACTGCCCTCTAAATATAGAGATCTTCCTCTCATTTTATGTGACGACATGTATATTGTTTGAATAAGCAACCGAAAACTACTTTTTTGCCAATATTTCAGTCTAATTATAGTAACTATCAAATTGACCTATGATCTCATTAAGGGGACGACCATTTGATATTCTGGTGGGGGCCAGGAGGATTTGTTTTGGATTGGTTATTTATTTTTGTAAACTAGAAGAAGAGATTATCTATTTTCTGCACTGTTGAAGCATGATTTTTCATTTTCATTAAAACAAGGGACTGATTATTTATTTTCACAATTATATTTATAATATTTGAAAACACACAATTTTTATTTTTTTTTTTATTCCTAAATGTATAGTCAAATCATTATGTACCATTTAATCAGAATTAATCATCATCCTGTGGAAGTGAATCTTCTGAATTCCCAACTGCATTTATTGCATACGTGCAAGGTATTAAAGTGGGGCTCTAACTAAGCCTCTTTTAAAGGTAATGTCAAACATATTTGCCGAGCGGAGCGAGGCAAAAAAATTCGGCTAAGGTTTTGGGGGCCGCTGAAAGCCCAAAGAAGATATAGAAAAATGATGCAAAATCATCCATTCTGCGCGTTTCCCAGATCCTTTCTTAATCTGAAACGCAAGTTCTGTTAATTATTTTTTCGACAATATTTTGGTCTCAAAGCAAAATATATAGATGCAGTGTAAGACTTTTAGTTTTTAGGGACAACATTAAAAGACCAATATGTAGGATAAAGCAAAAAGTGTAATTCACAAACTTAAGTATGTGGCTGCTTTTTTTTTATAGTGTTTTGGCTTGCAGAAAATCTTTTTAAATATACCTGTCAATTATGTGTTTTTTTTTCTCAAATTAAGTTAAGAGGGGCTGATTATCATTGATATAACTATGTCAAGTAAGTTTTTATAACACATTTCAATTACAACTTGATGTAGTTCCTAACTGAGATACAATTTGAAATTCATGTAGTTTGTAAAATTAGATAAAAAGTCCTTAAATAAAATAAAACTCAAGTGCAATACTAAGAGAATAAAGAAGGGCAATCAATGAACAAAAGACAAACCCTGGAACAGATAAAACACAAAACGACAAACATTATAGACAAATAACACTGAAAACTATAATTAAATGAGAAACATGGATCTTGAAAAACAGGGGCTATGTCAGAGGGTGAACAGAAGTTGCTTCTTGCAAGGCATTTGAAGTAAAAACAATTTAATATGAAGACAAGCTTTTGTTTTTGAAATTTCCTACCTGAGGCATTTGCCTCAATTTAGTTACAGCCCTCTTATGAAAGTGAGGTAAATGTTCCTGAGTTAATATACCTCTAGTTAATTGAAACCCATTTTCAGACATTTCAAGTACATTAATATTTATACATTGTATTTTAAAAGATTTGGGAAGTTTTTCCCGAAAAAAATATGAAAAAAGACGAATTTTGGAAGAATCTGGTGCCATTACATACTTTAGAATAGCATTTATAAAATGGCTTAAAAGACCTGCCGAGTTATTTATTTTCAATACATTGTAGGTCAGGTCATTTATTTTCAAACTACCACAGAACAAACCATTCTATTTTGTTATTATCAAGGCTGAGTTATTTATTTTCAAAATCCTCCTGCCCCCTCCCCCCCCCCCCCTCCCCGGGATATCAAATGGTCGTCCGCTAACGATTTTCCTCTCATTATATGTGGCTACATATCCGATAAAAATATAAGATGTGGTATGATTACCAATGAGACAACTCTCAACCAGAGACCAAATGACGTAGAAGGTTAGCAACTGTATGTCACCGTACGGTCTTCAACGAGGAGTAAGACTCATACCTTATAGCAAGCTATAAAGGGCCCAGAAATGACAAATGTAAAAACAATTCAATTGAGAAAACAAAAAAAGTTTGTTCCAAATGGGACATAATAAGGGTCAAATTCATCCTAGGTCAACTTTCAATTGCCTAAGGAAGTTGGAACTTTAGTTTCTTAATAATTTCTTAATTTTTCAACGGAGAATTTGAAAAAAGCTTGTTAAAAATCATGTCAGTACCCAGGGGCGTAGCTACCTTCTTAATGAAGTGGAATCACAAACTATAGGGCGAGGGGTCTGGGGGCCACCCAAGGCCCCCAGTAGGTCCAGGGCAAAGCCCTGGTAGGGGGGCCAGGGGGGGGGGGGGCAAAACCCACCGGAAGCTCCGCATATATATCGTTTCAAAACAATCAGAACCGAAATAAAACTTGGACATTTTTGTTGTGGTCTTTTGGTCAACTATTTGTTTAACTTCGAGTCGAATGAAGACTTAACATTGTCGCTTACGTTTTTTGTACGTGAAAGCTTTTAAAATCACGGAGATTTGTTCCATATGCTAGTATTTGTATTGAGCAAAGTAGATTTAAAAAACAAACAATAAACATAAACACAATACTATATGTGGAGTTTCTGTTAGCATAAACATCATTGGATACCAAATACTTGTGGACACATTCTCAATATTTTGATTACAATGTATTTAGATGTTTAAAAATTTTGTGGGTAAACTCTACAAGAGAGAGGTGGGAATTTCGAATTTTACGTAGTTAGGAATATTCGAAGTTGAACTTAATGAACTTTTTCAGAGTAAATGGTACTTTGATCACGATCTTTTTCATGATCTGCGTTTTTAATTAGCCAGCTTATTAACAAATGCATATGCATTCGACCAATTGTATGGCAATATCTAGATGATAACAGTGAAGATACGTGTAATAAAAGTTTGGTGTATCTTTCGAACAAGAATCAGCAGTTTAGTGTCCTACTCGGACAGACACTTCTTTTTAAAATTGAATGACCTAATAGTCCAGTAAAACGAGTTAGAATTAACAATGTATTTAAATAATTTTACAATCAACCATTCGTATAGCCGGCCCATATAGAAACGACTTCGAATTATCGAATCTATATAAAAGATTTTTTTGTAAAATAAATAAAAACGTAAAACATGTACTGGAAAATGTGTACTTTTTTTTTTACAATAACAGCAGTTCCAACTTCTCATCTACTAGTATACGGAAACTTTTGATTGATTGAATGGTTATTAATGTCCGGTAGCAAATATTACATGCACACATGACGAGATACGTTGACGTGATGTGAAAATGAACTATTCGTGTTGTCAAGACCTACATACTAAGTCAATATTGAACTAGTTCACAAGGTAACAGTCATTATTCCCGGATCGATACGAGTTGAAGAGTCTTCATTCTAGTAAGATGTGTGCTTTGGGGCTAAGCGGAAAATAATAATTTTCATGTTTTTTGTTAACCCTAAAGGGATTATGGTTTTTTTTGCACTCAAAGCGAGTATACGGTATGGTTGTGGTACCAACAACTATGTACATAGCA